GGAGCGTCCTCTTCAATTGTTGTCCATCATACCGAATGGAGTTTGGAGAGCTTTCTTCAACACCATCCGGCCAAGTTTAATGGAAAGGGACTCCCTGATGAGGCGGATCAGTGGCTGCAGGATATGGAACGGATTTACAATGCTAAGAGGTGTCCGGATGAGAACCGCTTAGCTTTCACGGAGTATTTACTCACTGGAGAAGCAAGCCACTGGTGGGCGAGCGTGAAGGCTATACTTACGGACGCTCACAGACCTATTACTTGGGAAGTTTTCAGAAGCAAATTCTATGAGGAATACTTCCCAGATAGCGTTCGTTTTGCTAAGGAGGTGGAATTTCTTCAGTTGGTGCAGGGAGGAATGTCAGTTTTAGAGTATACAAATAAGTTCAAGCATCTGGTGAGGTTCAATACGATGGCTACTAGTGAAGAGTGGCAATGTAGAAAGTTTGAAAATGGACTGAGAAGTGATCTGAAGGTGTTAATCTCAAGTCTATGCATTCGGTCGTTTCCAGCCATGGTTGAGAGGGCCAAAGTGTTAGAGAAAAATATGGCTGAGGTGGAACAACACAAGAAACTACAGGCGTCAAGAGGACCAATTCTGTCGAGGCCTAATGTGAATCGGAACAGGACCCCATACGCTCGTCCAACTCAGTCAAGTGGTTCGCAAGCTATGGTAGTTGCTGGACAAGCAAACCAACAGGGGCCAGTTAGATGTTTCCAGTGTGGAGGACCCCATTTTAGATCATCATGCCCTCAATTGGTTGGAGTAAAGTATTGTAATCGGTGTAGAAGAAATGGACATCTGGAGAGTGAATGTAATATGGGCGGACGCGCTGTGATGAGGCCGCCGAACGCTGGAAGGAACCAGCAAGGCAGAGGTGGTCGAGCCCAAGCTGTTGGGCGTGTCTATGCAATTACTGGAGCGGAAGCAGCGAGTTCAGGTACACTTATCACCAGCACGTGCTTGTTATATGGAATGCAATGTTGTGTATTGTTTGATTCGGGGGCGACACACTTGTCAATACCCAATTTCGTCCGGGTAAATAAAATTCATCACAAAAATAAATAATAAAAACATAAAAAAAAACCAAAATGAAAAATACTATTTATTTTACTTTTCGCACACCAAATTTTCTTTTAAACATTTAACCCAATGGCCCAAAATAATCTCTTACTTTTTTACTTCTTCACCACCATTTTTCTCTTATCACACCCCACTCTCCACATCATCATCCACATCACCCTCCACATCATCTACCTTTATCATTTATTTTTTCCACATCATTTCCATATTAATTTTATATATCAACTTTTCTAATTATTCCACTTACATTTTTT